GTGTGAGAAACCGAAAGTATAAATGAGGACCAAAATGTATAATAGATATTGGGAAATGAGAAGAAAATTTTCAAATGGGATGGGGGACAAGGGGGGAGGGGAGGAAAGGAAGGGAGGGACAAGAAAAAAGAATAGAAGAAAAAATGGAAACAAAGCTTTTGTAAATAAGGAAGGGAAGGGGAATAAAAGAAGCAAGATATATCATGTACAGGTACGAATTCCCTGTGATGAAGGTAATCATTGTGTACATCTAAAATGTACCAAAAAAAAATTTTTTTTAATTTTAATGATTTTAGGGCCAGGGATTTAGCTCAGTGGTTCCACTGCCTGCCCCATAAGCACAAGGACACGAGTTTGATCCCTGGTACAAAAGAAAAAAAAATTTAATGATTTTGTTGTAAGGGGAAAAACACAAATTTTTGGACAATGGACATGTTACATGTCCAATAACAGGGAACTGGCTGAGTAAACAGTGATACATTCACAGGACAGAAACTAAAAGCTAATTAAAATATCAGACAAATGTACTGACATGAAAAGTTGCCTGTGTTATGGAGTGAAAAAGTAGGTTACAAATGTGTGTGTGTATATATATATATGTGTGTTCTAATAAAATATTTATAAAATAAATATAAAATCTGTAAGGATAAGACACGAAAATATCATCAGTGGTGATAGATAGGTCATGCTTGACAGACTGATTGACTGATTTTCTGTACCGGGGATTGAACCCAGTGTTTTCAAACTGAACTACACCCCCAGTCATTTTTAAATTTTTTTTTTTGATACAGGTTCTTGCTGCATGAATAAATTGCCCAGATTGGGCTCAGATTTGCAATGCTACTGTCTGGACCTCCCAGAGTGCTGGGGTTTTACAGGTACACACCACCATTTCCAGATAAGGTCATAATCGATTTTAATTTTTTTCATACCTGGCTCTTATCAGTATTTATTAATAATATAATTAAAGATAATTAAAAATAATTCTCCAGATATATGTATGTATGAAAGTGTATTTTGAATGATAGATCATTACATATATTCTTTAAAGAATTTGCTTTTTCAACTTGAAAATTTATCATTAATATTATTCAATGTCACAAAGCTATCTCCAGTAAACTGGGTACTGGGACTACAAGAAGGTGTTTTGGGCTTGTTTTCTTGTTTTAATTTGAATTTAATAGTTTTCTTCAATTATTAGCATTTATGTAATTAAGAAATAATAATTTATAAAAGAAAAATCTTTGACTACTATTTGGTAGTTTTCAAAGCTCTTTATACACATCGTTTATATACAATACATGCAAAAACAGGCAGACGATAACTATATGGAGAAACAGACTCTGGGAGGTTTTAAGTTTTCCTAAGAGTTACATAGCCAATCAAGTGAAGCAGGGCCTGGATCATGTGTCAGAAAAAGCCAGGACCCTGTACATGCTGTACCCAAAATGCTCCTGGCCATCTGGAGGGTTTGATTTTAATTCCTACTCCACTAGAAAAGTGGACAAGTTCATCAATAATGCTCAATTAAAATCCACAGATGGAAAGGCTAGGGCTAGGACTATAGCTCAGCAGTAGAGACCTTGCCCAGCATGCACAAGGCCCTAGGTTCCATACCCAGTGCTACAAAAGACAAACAGAAAACATAAACTCATAAAAGTTTAGAAGAAAACTTAGGAGAAAATCTCTGAAGCTAGGACAAGGCAAAGAGTTCTTAACATTAAAAGCATAAGACATAAAAGAAAGGGGTAAATAACAGCAAGAAAAAGTAGTTGGTGGAAAATTCTTGATTGCCCTTAACATTGAACTGCAATAAAATTCTTGAGTTTACTTTTCATTCTTCTCATGAATGTGCTTACCACTGGATGTGGTTTCATAAATATTTCTAGAGAAAATTATCTCCATTTAAATAAAAAGAAGAAAATATAATGATTATCTTCATTTCTATATTTTTAAAATTTTTTCTTAAAGGGTAAAACTCCTTGAAGGCAGGGCTGGGGATTTAGCTCAGTGGTTCTGGTGCCTGCCTCGCAACACAAGTCCCCGAGTTTGATCCCCAGTACCAAAAAAACCCAACACTTATTGAGGGCAAAAATCGTTTTACTTCTGTATTTCAACCTTTGGTTCAGTGTGTAGTCCAGATGCACTCAATAAATTTTGGATGGGTTTGATAAATGGAGGGATAGATGATCCAGATGCATGAATGGGAAGAGGGAGGAGGAGAGGAAAGGAATTGAGGGCAGGAAAGGAGGTAAAGGAAAAAGGACAGGAGAAAAGAAGACGGTCTGGGTTGTAGTTAGAGTATGGTTGGGGTGGAAGAATGAATGATTGGATTGGCTGACTAGTTAGCTGGTGGGATGTGATGGAACAATGGATGGGCGAATGAAGGGATGGATGATGGGTGGAATAGATGGATGAAACTGGAATTGATAATAAATTATAGCAAGACTTTCAAGTACTGTGGCCTGTTTAGGGATGGAGGAGTTACATAATTCTTTTCTAAGAAGAATGGACTTAACATAGGTGTGATAGTTAACTGATTGCATCAACTTGAGTAAGAAATGCCCAACTCAATTGGCTCAACATAGTTATGAGTGTGGAAGACCCACCTAGGGAAGATTAGCACTAGAATGATGTAAAAGGGAAATGAAGGAAGGATTGTTTCTATTTCTTAGAGGAGCTCCAGTCTTCACCTTCACCTTGAACATCATCTCCTGGCTTCCAGCACAGACCCTCCAGCCTCTTGATATGGGCTCACACAGGACGCTACAGTGAGCTCCAGGCCTTCGACTGAATCCTTTGGACTCCTGTGCACAGACCTTTGGCACTCTTCCACACCTGACTTCGTGGGTGGCCACTGTAAGCCAATTTGTAAATTCTTATATGTTCATATACCTTGTATTAAATCTGTCTCTCTAGTAAACACTGAGTGATCCATAGAGTTTTTGTTCTATTTTAGTGTCATTAATGGGTGCCAAGATAGATGCAGCACTCTGGACAGCAATCCTTCCTTTTGAGAGAGGAGGGCTGAAATGAGGAAGAGCAATGGTCGATGTCTTTATTTCACAGATGAGTTAACTAACGGAACCCTCCTTGCAAATAATGAATGTCCAAGCTATTAGAGACATTATAAAGCACCGTGCATTTAAAAAATTGTAGACAATAGAAATGAACAAAGAAAGAAAGGTCATTAAATTCATTCTATGGGATGGGCCCAGTCACCTCACTGTGGTTACTGCCAAGGCTAAATTATAGCATATAACACCATCTGCCCCTGTTTTCTTCCTGTTACTCCCCAAAGCTTTTTATTCCAATTTTAGATGTGCCAAAAGGTGTGTTTCTAATTTTATTCCTCTTAAATTATTTTTATAGTACTCAAACCTGGGCAAATAGTAATATATAAAAGTGTGTCTTTGTTTTCTTTCTATTTTTGTATTTTATCAGCACTGAGATTAGGTATCCTGGATTTCCTGCCTCTTTGAAGGTCCTGGCCTGCTGTTTGCACCGCCAGCTGCACCTGTGTAGTTTTCAGAGCACACAGCTACCTGCTGGACTACCTGCCAGGCCATTAGCAAAGCCAATAGATACATGACACACTTGGGTTTCTAGTTTTGTCCCTTTAATGACAGTGAAAAGCTCCAGGCTGCCCGCACCTCCTAATGTTTGCCAGACTGCTGGGAGTAAGACTGGAGGTTGGTTTAGAAAACACCCATAAGTAACAGGAAGTTCTAAAATACCCTTTCTCTATGAGGAAGACAGCTGATTACTGCCCTGAGTCTGCTGGAGTCTTTTTCTTTTTCACTTGTAGAAAGCACTTTCTCTTCAAGGAAATGAACTAAAGTGTGCAACAGATGTGCCCTGCCCCACCCATAGCCCTTGTCCTTCACTTCAACACTGACAGCCCCCGATGCCAACTGCTAAAACCCCATTTCTTGCTATGAGGACTCTTTCTTGCTCTGAAGCTCCCTTTGCCACCTGGGCAACTGGCTAGCATAGCAGGGAACTGCTGCCCCTAGGAGTAGCTTTCTCCACTGACTGACAGGAATTGGCATCCACATACTCCAGCTCCCTTGCCCCTTGGGAGGAAGTAACTCTGAGGGTGTGTTATGGTTTGGATCTAGAATGTCCCCTAAAAGTCTCATGTGTTCAGAGGTGGGGCTTTGGGCAGGTGATTGGATCATGGGGCACTATTCTCAGTAGCAGATTAGTTTATTGATAAATTTGTGGCTGCAGGTGCTGCTAGGAGGTGGGGTGTGCCTGGAGGTGGATCACTAGGGGTGTTATGGCTTGTATCTAGATGTCTCCCCAAAACCTCATGTGGTCATAGGTGGGGAGTTTCAAAGGTGGCTGGATTAGGTGTGTGAATGTAGATTAAGGGTGTGATGCTGGGATTAAAGCCCCCCCACCCAGCTCAGGGTATGGGTGGCACCGATCAAAATGAGTGGGTAGCCTGGATGGAATAAAAGGCAGAGGCAGGCTTGGTGCTTCTGCTTCTGCTGTTTCTCTGCTTGCTGCTTCACTGTCTCCTGCCTGGTTGCCATGGACTATTTCTCCTCTGTGATGCCCCTCTGCCATGCCGTCCTGCCTTGGAACAAGCTGACTAAGGGCTGAAACCTCTACAAACTATGAGCTGCAATAAATCTTTCCTCCTTTAACTTTGGATGTTGGGGTTTTTGTCTCAGTAATGAGAAAAGTAATTAAAACAAGGGGCTTGACCTAGAAGAGTTTATCTCCCTTCCCACCTCCTCCTTTTGATTCCTGATTTCTGGCCACCATGATGTGAGCAGCTTCCCTCCACCATTCTCCTTACCGTGCCTTTTCTGCCTTGGAGCCGGCAACTATGGACTGAATCCTTTAAAAATTGTGAGCCAAAATGAACCCCTCCTCCCTTAAATTGTGACAGTTGGGTGTTGTGTCTCAGTGATGGGAAAGTGATGATTCAGGGTGTATTCTTTGGCTTCTAGATCTAGAATCTTTGTCAAATTCCAAGGGACCCAATCAAAGACAACTATCCACCTCTACTCGTGGATATTGTTGGAGAGACAAAGGAACAGTTATTAGACACCTGGGGAGACCCCCTCCCGAGTCAGAAAATGTGACTTTCCATGGCCTGTGATACGACACATGTTGAGGTCCATCTGGAAGCTGTCTACGTCATCGGCCCCAGCAGTGCTGACTGATATGAAACCCTGGCCAGTCACCTTTAGAAACCAGTATGTTTAAGTGGACAGAGGTGAGTGAAGTAGCTGGATAAGGGTCCAGAAGAGTGTCCCTGTCTACTGTGTGCCCTCTCCACCAGCCCTTCTCACTACAGGGTAGAGGGGGAGGGGGACAAGCACAAGGAGAAGGATGCAGGGGGAAAATAGGGCCTTTTGGCATCCTACCCATTGCCTTTAGTTCATCTTGTTTGGTTTTTTTCCCTCTGAAGTATATTTTTTTCCCTTTTTTTCCCCAAGGAAGGCCTGTTAAAAGTAAGCTCTTAATTTTTATTTGATTGAAAATTTCTTTATTTTGTTCTCACTCTTGAATAATAATTTAGCGAGGTTTGAAAGTCTGTACTGGTAGCTATTTTCTGCCACCTTGTGCATTATCTTCTGACTTGTGTTTTACTAGGAAAGCTATTAATCTAGCTGTGATTTTGTAGATGTGAGAGAGAGAGAGAGAGAGAGAGAGAGATTTCCATCTCTTGTATCTGAAGTTCATTTTTGTGTGTCTAGGTGTGTTTTTATTTTTATTTCAGGATTTTTGGCTACTTGGATCTGAGAAATCATATTCTTATCAGTAATTTAAAAGAAAATCCCAGCCATGTCCCCTTTGAAGATTGCTAGTGTCTTTTTCTTTCTAGTCTTAAAATTCATATGTGTTATAGCTTTTATTCTACCCCCCCCCCCAAGGCTCTTAAGCTTTCCTCAATATCCCCTAGCTCCCCCTTGGCTCTGTCTTCCAATTTACAAATGCTTTCTTTAGCTATGTCTAAGCAGCTGTTTTACCTCATCCACTAAGTGTTTGATTTAAATGATCCTATCTTTCATTTCTAAAAATTCCATTTTGTTCTTCAGATCCATCTACTCCTCTCTTTTGTGTTTTTTATTTAAAACATGTACTCTATATCTGAGCATTTTACTATCTAAAAGCAACAATGTCTTAGTGTTTGTTACTGTACACTTACAGTCATATTCCACAGGGATGGTCTTGTTTTGTTTTCTATAGGAATCCTGGGCAGCTTGGAACACAGAAGTGACCCTCCAATAGTGGTTTCAGTTTTGCTGTTGCCCAGTACATGAGGATAGTCAAGTCCCCTCTGTGTGGCCTCCTCTGGTGCCTTCCCATTAGCTGAGCCATGGCACCCTTCCTCTCTGCATATCACCTTGTATGCACCTCTATGACTCCCCAGGCCACACTCTGTTTTGGCACTTATGTGTCTGTGCCCCTGGTTGATCTGTGAGCCTTGTTCATTCCTCAGGTTTAGCGTAGAACTCAAGAATACATGTAAAATGAATGAACTCAGAGAAATAAATCCTCAATATTTGGCTTCTTTGAATGGAATATTATCTTTCAACCTTACTCAATAAAATTTTGGGGGACTTCATAGACTCTTGGGGCCAAAAGGTGCTTTAGTTCAATCTACAAGGTGGCCACATCAAACACTTGATTCTCTGTAGAAGATAATACCTACAAGGATCCTGCAAGCTGGGAGGCATTACCAGAGGTAAATTGTGGTACTTTACTATACTTGGCACCTGATTTGCTATGATATCATTGTCCTTTTTTGTGCTTTGAGCCAGGAATGATTTAAACGGGAAAGACCATCATACGGTAACAATTGCAAACTTTTCTGAGGTCAGAACAAGGCTATGCCTTGGCATAGCTTGGACTTACCATCTGTCCAAATAAAATGGCAGCAACCAAGAAAGGAGATACGTCACAATTAAATATCTTCTCTCTACTCCCCAATTTCCAATCTGGACTGAATACTCTTCAAGGACAGTGACCTCCATACATATGTGTTTACATATTCCCGTGGTCAAGCTGGAAGCACAATGCTAAATAATAGGGGTTTTAACTAAATTTTAGCTCACTGAATTTCAAGTTACAGGGAGAGTTACAACTGGTGCTCAGTACTCTAAATGTAAAGTATAAACAACCTTAGAATCCTAGAAACCATTGATATTGTTAAAGCCATTTTTGGTATACTTTTTCTTTTTTGCTAGAGCACTTTTGTGGGGGAAAGAACAGGATTGGGTTTACCACGGTTTTTTAGTGGCTCAGAATAGCTATCTTCTCCTGCCCTCTAGTGGCTCCATGACAAATTATAAGAACATTCACTTTTTCTCAAAGGCAATTTTCCTCATTTCTCCTATCTTTATTTTTTTCTTTGTTTTTACTATTGTTCATGACAAAAGACACGCTTAAACTTGCACGCCTTAGATTTCCCTATGCTAAAAGTGAAATGAATTTTAAGTGTTTTTTTTTCTAGAAAGTCTGTCGGAGGCACATCTTAGACACAGAGTTTCAGGAAGTGATTTAGGATTTAACCACATACAATATAGAAAGTGATTCCCCCATCAACTCCCTTGGTGTAAATGCCTTCTGCACAGTTGGTCACCACCCAGGGAAGCCTTGCTCCACAATTCCATCTAATCTAATAGGAAATGTCCACACCTTCCCCAGCTGACCTGAGGCCACCATCAAGTGATTCCCAGGTCCCAGCTCCTGCGTAGGCCAACAGCAGCCCCTTCCCTTGCTGCACTTTGGTTTCCTGATCTCAGCCCCTGGCAGCGCTGTCTGCACAAATGCTGATGAGTGAGAAGTGCAGTACACTGAGTCCTAGACTTGAACACAGCATTCATTCAGTGTGGTCTGATCAGTATCAGCCATGGCTATTTCTGGTGAAGCACAGACCATGCCAACCATGTCTGCATTTGTGCTACTAAGTCTGTGTTTATTCCTTCATCCAACCCAGAATCCGATTGGGTACTACTGGGTTTTCTGACACCCCTAAATCATCTTCGTATCTACAACTGCCAAGCCAGGCTTCTCATTCTGTCCTCATAACAGTAGTGTATTTCTTATTTTTACATAGAATCATGGGAACTCTATTTTCATCCCTGTTCTTTGCCAGTGCATTGGATCATAATCTGGCCCATAAAACAATGTGGAGAACTTCACCACATAGGAGAGAAGTTCCTGGCAGCAAAGAGTGATGGGATGGCCCTTGGTCCTACTCTTGGGCTGGCCTCAGACTCTCTGGCCTCAGGCTCCTCATCCATGACTTGTGCTGTTCAGTGGCAGGGAATGATTTTCCAGAAAGGAGAGGTTATGACCTTAAAAGGACAGTGAAGGATAGTATACAACTTTAGAAACTTCTTAAAAAGCACATAATTTTCCCTCAGGAAATTGTCTTAACTTTAGTTAGTGAGAAATTCTGTTCACAAACTTGGGTTAGGGTAAAAATGTTGCATTTTAAAATCCAATTCTGAATTTCTCTAGTAGTTTGCTCCAACTACTGGTCAGAGTACTGTCAACTGGGTGGCTTATATAATAGAGACGTCTTGTCTCACAATTCCAGAGCTCCCAGCATTCTCCCTGTGTTCGTGCGTCTGTGAGGGTATGAGGATATGTGTCATGTTGCACTAGTGCACACCATATTAACCTCATTGTGACTTGGTTGCCTCCTTAAAAACCTAATTCCAAATAAGGTCACATTCTCAGATACTAGAGTTTGGGACTTCAGTGTTTCTCTTTGGGTGGGATACAATTCAACCTCTAAAAATCCATCCAGCCAAGTTACCAGGAAATTCAAGCTTGACCACTATTAACTCCCTTCTTTCCCCCACTCATCGATATCCTCCAGCCCAGAATGCAGTTGCTGATGTTTTGGGCCAAATCAAAGCACCAGACAGGCCCCTCTGTGTTGGGAGCAATGCTACATAATTTTAGGGAAAAATCATTTGGTTAGCCTAGTTCTCCTGCCTACAGCCCAGCTATGGAATTCCGAGACATAATTGCATTTGGGCCTCCGGTCACAACTGAGACCTCAATGATCCGGTGATGCTGTGATTCTCCAGGACAAGAAACATCCTGGGAGCTGAAAACATCCTGGGAGGAACAAAACATCCACTCAGTTCCTCATTGTTCTTGGACCTTTACCATCTTGTTTACACTGATGTACTGAACTCTCTGCAAGCCATTTGTTATCTTTGTTTCTCCCGAAGTACTGAATAAAAGGTACAGTAAGCTGGGGGCTTTTGTCTTTGCCGCCCAGAGCAGCACTGATCAGACCCAAAGCTCAGCTTCTTCTCAGTCTCATTTTTCTACCTTTCCTGTAATTCGCCGTGTGCTGCCGTGGCTCGCAGGAGACCAGGACTAACTGCAGAGGTTCTGGTAACATCCCCTTCCCCTGTTCCCTACACCTTTGTAGTTTCATCTTTCCCAGTTGTTGCTGGATATCCAAGTTTGCACGTTCTTTCTAAGTAGGCAGCTGGCCCATCCAGGTTTTCCTGAAGGGCCCACAGTTTCTCTGTCATTGCTACTCACTTCAGTGTGCAGGGCTCAAGAAATATGGTGCCCACACAGGCATCCGTTCTGAGTGTCACCACTCTACGTGGAGCCCAGGCCTGCCCTTCTAACTCAACCCACCTTTGTGTTTCCTTTTCTCCCTTGAAGGATATGTTTCTAAAGGCAACTAACTCTTCAAGCAACTCCAAAAGACACAAAGAGTCACTGCCATTAAACACATTAATTTTCTAGGGAGTATCTTTTTTTTGTACCAAGGATCAAACTCACTCTCATGACCTTGCACTTGTGAGACAGGCGGGGTGCCACCGAGCTAAATCCCTGGCCCTTAAACACATTAATCTTCAAATCTCCCCTGAGGGGAAGTCCCTCCGAATCTGGTTACTTGCATGAAACAGAAGGAGGGGAAAAATATAACCTAAATAACAAAACTCATATGCCAGTGGGTTATCTGGCCATTGTTCTACTGTGTGACCAAGGAACAAGCTAGGAGGCGTTCACTGATGGGAGAAGCTCCATCGTCAGGATCTGCAGACCTGAACACAGCGTCCCTCTTTTATTCCACCTACATCTCCAAGACACCTGCCCTCCTCAAGTGACAGGGACCTGGAAGTGACTGGCTGCGTGGGCTCTGCTGGGAGCTGGACACAGCACCTGGGAAGAGATGGGCAGTGATGGGTCCATGGTCTCCTGCCAAGGAAGAAAGAAGTGACCTCT